ATTCAACGATTTACTGTACATAATATTCAACAATTTACTGAAGAGCTCTGATGATAGAACCGGCGATTCAACGATTTACTGACAATCCATGATTTATTGACGAGCCCTGATGATAGAATCGACGATTCAACGATTTACTGTACATAATATTTAACAATTTATTGACAATCCATGATGCCATCAAGGCGATCCATAATGTCATACACACGATTTTATTGTACAAAATCACTGGTTCTTCTCTAGAACCAGGCAACGGTTCTTCTTTAGAACCGGGCAATTCAACGATTTATTATACATAATCCACCGGTTCTTCTCTAGAATCGGACAATTTGAATAACCGGATTCAACTATTTACTATACATAATATTCAACGATTTACTGAAGAGCCCTGATGATAGAACCGTCGATTCAACGATTACTGTACATAATATTCAACGATTTACTGACAATCCATGATTTACTGACGAGCCCTGATGATAGAATCGGCGATTCAACGATTTACTGTACATAATATTTAACAATTTACTGACAATCCATGATGTCATCAAGGCAATCCATGATGTCATACACACGATTTTACTGTACAGAATCACCGATTCTTCTCTAGAACCGGGCAACTGTTCTTCTCTAGAACCGGGCAATTCAATGATTTACTGTACATAATCCACCGGTTCTTCTCTAGAATCGGGAAATTCGAAGAACCAAGCGATTCGTGTGTAAAACGATTTATTGTACATAATTCGTCGATTCTTCTCTAGAACCAGGCGATTCAACATTTTACACACAAATCGACAACTTGCCTTTTTTTAAAAGGAAAATAACACATATATCCATTGTATTTTGTGTTATTACGGATGTACCGAATAGTTTCCGTTATTTCATGTTTGTCCGTTTTTTACTTCTCATAATGCAAAGTTTTAAAAAAGACAACTTTACTCTTTTTAAGGTGTTGAACTCTTTTTCGGGTGTTGAACAACCGAATTGAAAGGTTTTTCGGATGTTCAACATCCGAAAAGAGCCCTAGCCTGAAACCTTTTGGAATTTCGCAGTCATATTTTCGGATGCTGGACATTCGACATGTTCGGATGTGGGACATCCGAAAATGGTTTCGGATGTTGGACATCTGAAAATGTCACATTTTCGGATGTTCAACCTCCGAAAATGGGAATGTGAACGTTAAACTTCGAGTTATTTTCGGATGTTGAACATTCGAAAAACCCTTCAATTCGTTGTTCAATACCTGAAAAGGTAAAGTCATATTTAAAACATTACATTATAAAGGTAAAAATGGACAGACATGTATA